AGGATTCTTAAAATAAATCTATCAACCTATTCACCTGCCATGCATAAAGGAAATTTAACTGAGGTAACTTGTACCAACTTTTATCATCAACTATTATCATCAGAAGAGCCGTTTAATGTCAGCATTAATTCTGATCACAAAGCAAACAACTTAAACTATACTAGCAAAAAAGATCTTGTCGTTCTTAAACGTTTTCTGTCTTCACAAATATCTACCAAACCACAAGTTGCATGGTTGCAGAAAGGAGACCAGCACTGCAAAAAACTTGTTATATTCGTGACCCGTATAACATCCAAATTCATTCTCGCTCGAAATAGAACCTTGAGTGGGACGGGAAACTGACAGCCATTGCTAAAGCTATCAATGTGGGCGGCGTAGCTATTTTCTTGCCACCATTTTGATGTGCATTGTGCGCATTGATGTACATATACCAGAACCCAGAAATGTCTTAATGTCAAAGTCTGTAAACTTTGCTCTGATGTAATCAGTGTAGTCAACTTTGTAAGTTGGAAAGCTGCAGGTTCTTCTCCAGTGGTGACTGAGACTTGAGATGAGTCATTTGAGAGAGATTCGTATTGGCCCATGTGGCTCATGCGGTAGAGGTTCCAGTTAGGCAATTTCTCGTTCACGCAGGTTGGTCGTCTTGCATTGGTTTCTGTGCGGTTTTCTCCACGTCTCTCATTCTCCAAGGCGTAAGACATTTAGAGGCCTTTAGATTGACGTTTACGGCAAACGTAAAATACGGACTATTTTTAAAAAAATACAGTTCAAAATCAAGCTATTTTTACATATTTTCAACACTTGTCAAATTTCGCGAGCTTGTATTTTCAACTTAAACCGCTGAAGTTACATTAAGAAAAATAGGATGGAAAATTTGAGGCATATAAAATAACTGATTTCAACTTACATTTCATTCCCATATCACGTTTTTCTTCGATTATTGCATGTTCACGTCGCCATATTCACTTCCAATCGCTCGATTACAAGAATTCATGATCGATTTTTAAAAGAACAAGACGCTCTGTAGAGCGTTAATTCGCTGGGGCTATACAAATACGCACATTAATGTATATATACATAAGGACACGGCTATTTCAATTAAGATTTAAGGTTGTTCCAGAGCTAAGCGGAAAAGTCAAATACGAACGCGAAAGGCTGTTTGACACAGTACTAAGATGCGGTGCTCTACAAATAAAACTGCCGGCGTTCCGTCGTGCAAGTAAAGTTATATTTAATACGCCATATACATTCTTCTGTCGGCCGCCAGTTGGTCCGTACGCAAGAATTAAACTGCGCTTTAAAGCCTTCAAAGAAGAATATTTGGGGGCTTTTGGGCTCAAAATACTATCAAGATGAACAGAGAAGTGAGACGAATCCACTGGTATATGGCCGAAAAAGAGAAAACCAACGATACCAAAGTTATCAAGGATCAAACGCACTGCATTTTTAATTAGCTTAATAATTTTGAGCGATTTGTTAACAATACCATTTCGCTTGACTTTCAAAGACAAAGGCCATAAATCGCTAGAATACTGTTGTTTATATAGTATAAATACATTTGACATCCGTAAGTACAATTTCTTACGCTGAATCGAACCTGATCGAACGGTGGTATTTTTATCCTTTATGTATTGCGCGATAAATTTATACAAATACAATATCATGTTTCACACTACAGCTTTCACCTTTTAGTTTCCACTGTATAAAGGGACTGTTGTTGGACTCTCTCCTCCGCAGAGGCTTACGTGAAGTTTCTAGTGAGGGAAAAGTGAGCGCGCAAGGAGTGATGGGAAGACCTAAATGAAGGAAGCCTCTGCGAGTTAATGCAATCAATATGGCGTCGTATATATATATAATCGTTTGTAGCGAAGTTCGATCAACAATCGAGGGTGTTAAAACATGTTTTCGACTTTCATTTTCAGGCGTACTTGAGTATCCTGGGGTGAATTAAATATCAATATCTTCTTCCGTTCATTTGCATCGAAAAATATTGAGAAATTGCAAACGAATAGCAAATACGGATACGAGATTGCAACATTTCTTTATAAAAATGACTCTATTGAACTTCGATACTCAGATTATGAATATTCATTTCAATTTCTTTCACATTTCCGTCGATTTCTTGAAAAAAGGTCAAACAGTTAGTTTGGTTCAAAAACCATACTTCGTCGCATTAACTGGCAGAGCCTCGCCAACTTCATTTCAATCTTCCCATCACACCGCGCGCTCACTTTCATTCAGGAAACTTCATGTAAGTTGAATTTTTTCTGTGTTGGTGTTGTGTACTCAGGTGAATAATATGTTTGTGATGTTACTCTGAGTGCATATCCACACCGGGCGAGCTTGAAAAATATGCCCGGCCACGGTGGGATTCGAACCTACGACCTTTGGAATACTAGCCCAATGCTCTTCCAGCTGAGCTACGCGGTCAGGACAGTTCGAGTAAGTGATATTTCGGAACAGTATCTAGTTCCTTCAATACCAATGTGCTCTAGTAATATGAATTTTTCTGTGTTGGTGTTGTGTACTCAGGTGAATAATATGTTTGCGATGTTACTCTGAGCGCATATCCACACCGGGCGAGCTTGAAAAATATGCCCGGTCACGGTGGGATTCGAACCTACGACCTTTGGAATACTAGCCCAATGCTCTTCCAACTGAGCTACGCGGTCAGGACGGTTCGGGTAAGTGATATTTCGGAACAGTATCTAGTTCCTTCACTACCAATGTGTTCTTGTAATATGAATTTTTC